AAAAATTGGCTATGGAAGTGAACAAAGAATTATAAAAATAAAATACAAATGGTTAGTGAAATCACACACAAAAAATTTCAACATACTTAGTCATAAGGAAATGTAAACTAAACTGATATTAAGCCTCCATCTTTCCTCAGCCAGAATGAACATTATCTCGAATAAAATGACAACATATAATAATGTGAAGAAAGGAGAGCCCGTATGCAGTGGTGCTGGTGATATGGGGGAGAAACAGCATCCTCTGAAGAGTCCTTAATCTGATTTATAGAAGAATTTAAGAATGGACTCAAATGAAAGTTTTTAGACAATTTTATTAGAATTAAAAGAAAAATCTTCAAGATAGGGGAGTTAAAATCCTGGCTGCTTGCCTGGAAGAGGAGAATGGAGGGGAGAAGGGAAAACCCCATGAAGCTATGCAGTTTAGAGCCTGTATGGAGGGCAGGTGCTGGCAGCCACATGATGGGGATAATGAAGCTTTAGATAAAAATTAAAGAAATACAAGAGCTAGAACAGCACAAGGTGTTAGAGTAATCATGCTTAGAGAAGGGATATGAAGAAGGCAAAGTGAGGGATTATGTTCTTCTGAGGCAGGTAGGATTTATCATGGAGAGCCACATGTTTGCCACCAAGATCCATAAAAACTTCACAGGGACGTGGGGATTCTGAGTAAGAAAAGTTGAATGTCTCAATGCACTAGGGAATCTCCCTCTCTTTAGCATAACTTAAAGTGAATCCACCTTCCTAGGGGCAGTCGTCTGACCAGGTGATGGACCAGTGAAACTGGAAAGGTGGGTCCTCTGACAGGTGGACTAGAGATTTTATTATTTCAACAGCTAATCTAATAGGACTTTTTGATACTCTAACAGTTGGAAGGTCAACTAGTGTGGCCACTTTCAATTCAACCTGAGATTTTCACAAAAAGCAAGACATGGAACTATCTTATGACCCAGCTACACTACTCAGTGGGATTCCATTGACGTGTAAAAAAATGAAATTATGGACTTTGCAGGAGGTAGATGGAATTGGAGAAAAATATTCTGAATGAGGTGTCCCAGATCCAGAAGGACAAAGGTCCCATGTTCTCCTTCATCTGCAGATCGTAGCTTTGAATATTTACATTGATGTCTTTAACTTGGAGATTCATAGGAGCAAGGGAACCAGAATGGGGTGATTGTAGGGGTGGTCACTCTTCTTTGGCTGAAAATCATATTTTTGAGACAAATTTTTTAAGCTATTTATTGATTCAACTTTCATTTTCCACTTAACTTTATGAATAAAATCATTCTTGTAATTCATTATGCCTTAGAGATCCCCTATTCTGATGATGGGTTATTATTTTTGTATGTAACACTATGACTACTTCAATGATAACTTCTGTAATTGCAATTACAGCTGTAATACTTGTACTTATGTGTAAATTTTGGGGCATATTTTTTCCAGAAAAGTGAGTATTCTGTGTGTTACCTCAGGTATATCTTCCTTTTGAAAGATATTTGTGATCACAGAGTAGACTTTCTAACAAGAGGAAGCACAGTAATAAATACTACATGAATAAAAGAAATACTGGTCCAAATTCATTGACACTCAGAAAACACACATGACTTCAAGCTTTTACCTAGAGCTTAGTTAGACAAGTCTCTATTTCCTTTGGATTACAATAAGACAGCAGGCCAAGTGCACCGGGCAGTCTGGTGTGTGTCTGGTCAGGAGGCCAGATAGGACGTTCAGAGGCATACTCCAGAAAGAATCAGAGCAAGAGTTCATAGTGTGAGGCAGGAGGGGTAGGCCATGCTGCACATCACTCATAGCCTAGGTGACTAATTCTTTCTGTAAGGACTGAATTTTCAGCCCCATGACAATTGTGTTTCATTTGCAATCCACTGCTTTCCCTGGGGAGGGGGATGACGTGCAACCAGTGAAAATTATTTTTGTCTCATTAAAAAGGTGAATATTTTAGATAAATTCAAAGTCACAGAGTTTCTTTCTCACACCATGGGTAGTATAAGGGTTGAAGAGTAAAACAAAAGGTGACATTTTGAATCTTTCCAGGTATGTCTGAAATCTGGGGCTTCATAGACTGTGGAAACAGAAGTGGGGAGGAGAGTGTACAGCCAGGTAAAGGCAGAGAAGTCTATTTTCTATGTAAGAGCTTTCAAGCAGGAGCTGATTATGCAAAGTCCAAATTTCCTTTGTCTTGTTCATGTTCACCTGAATTCCAGATTTAAAACCTTAAAATTCTATAATATATTT